AGGGCGACATGGTATACTTTAATTCAAATCACATAGGCAAGGAGATGTTGCTACCGACTGCCAGAACTTTGTAATGTGAGTTGCAAAATCGAAAGTTGAGAGGAATAGACTACGAAGATAAATTGTGGCAGACGATGTGCATTGCTATTGAAACCAGACATGGCCGGAAGAGCTCTCAACGTTCCACTGACGCTTGAGGCCCTATAGTACAATGCCCGAACATATTTCGTCCTAACCCGAGATTGTCTGACAACCTGAAGCACTGTGCAAACCCTAACAGTCCAAGGCCCTGCAATCCTCAGCTTTACCCCGAGAATGTGTAGTGAACCTTTGTTTAGGCTGACGGGCTCGGAAGTTCAATTCTCAGGAATTCGGGTATATTCTTCGAGCTCTCAAAGACACCTATAAGCCCTACAAAAGCCCTGGAGACTCCCAACGTGACCCAGGACCCTGCCCCCGCAATGAAAACGGATTCGGTAACTCGTTTCCTTTAAAGACAAGATTGCGGGATTCCGTGCAAACTGAATAGGACAATGAAGGACACCATGGTGATAGTTGGGTCCTGAAGCATCAACCCGGCCCGTTTACGCACAAGGGTCGTTGTTGTAAACGAGAATACGTTACTTTTTGCCAACATTCGAATTAGATTTACGACAAGATTCGCTACATGTATGTGTAGCTCCTTGCTCGTAGCGACAGCTTGAATATGCTACAGCCCGAGGGGACCGACCCAAGCATAATCCGTTTGCGTGTATCAATCAATCATTTTGCAGATTGTGCTAATACGGTGAGGGCTTGATATTGCATTTTGAGTTGGGATGCCTGTGGCTTGATGGGGCTACAATATACGTATGTCTGACAAGGGCCAGGCTTAGGCTTTCTGGTAGACTACACACCCCTATGCCCCTACTTTCAATCCCACAATCTCGGCGGTCGGTGAGGCTCTATCCTTATGATGTTGCTCTGGCCATCTTCTACGAGCTTTATTCCATGGGATGCTTGCGCAGCAATTGTGGTGTTGCCTCAAGCAGAAGTGCAGAGAGTGTCAGAGACTGACAAACCCTGAATTTGGAAATGAGATCATGCAGAGAAGAAGCCAAACCAGCAAAGGGCACCAAAGACCTCAGGATCCGCCACTCTTGGAGCCCAGGCTAGTGCGTCCACGCATAAGTCACAGGCGCTAAATAAAAGGGCTCAAGGAGTCATTGGCCAAAGACGTAAGTAAGTGACGAAAGCTGAAGAGGTTTCGCCTCTCAGCAAAGTCGGTATCCGGTAACCAGCCAAAAAACCCGGCCCACTCCTCTCTCACCCTCCTCCCACCCGGGCCCTCAAGTACTTCACTGAGCATTTCTCGGGGTCCGAAGTTGATTGCAGGGCCAGGGACTACTTATTACCAACATACATATACACATGTATATCATGTATGTAAGTATATCATGTATGTATAGTCCCTCTGCCACTTCTCAGGCATGCCTCTTCTGCTCCCTCACGAGAGGCTGCTGCCTTTTTATGTCTTCCGTGGCTTACACAGTGCCACGGCTTTTGCGGATTTAGGCTCTTCTTGTCGAGTGCTGTTGTGAGGCACAATCAGATGCCAGTTCTGAGAAGTGACCAGAGGTGAGGAGAGCACATGCCGTTATACTGTCGTACTCGGAAGACATAGACGATCTAGGAGAATCAGCTGCGACAACGTTCATGGCAGAAGGGCTATGCGCAACAGCGCCGTTTCATGGCCACAAACGCATGTTTCGGACATAGGCTATGATGGGCTATGGTTGCTAGGCCATGAGGCCTACCCAACATCAAGCTCCACCTGATTCCGAATCCAAATAATCTTGCGCAGCGAGCCCACGCGGTTGCAGAGGTCAGTTCATGTCCCATAGAGTGGGCTAGGCGAATGAAGGAGGTTGTGCGGTCACACTGAGCCTCCTGATAGTCTGGCCTACTTTTTGTGCTCTTGCGTAGCACCAAAGAAGTGACAGCGGGTGCAAAGCCAGCGAGTTTTGCTGCTCGAACTGCAAGCTTCGCGAAAGTCAAGCCTGGGCCAGGGCCTCCCAAACAGGGTTTCTAGACCCCCCCCCCCGCCCCCCCAAGGTGCAGTCGAGTACCACGCCGTGAGGACCAAGCCAGAAGGCCTCTCTCCCTCTCTCTCTCTCTCTCTCTCTCTCTCTCCCTGTTGTGACGTATGGATGAGGCGTAGAATTTTTACCGGGCCCAGCTCATCCATGGTTTTTCTCTCTGGCTTTGTCTGAACAGCCCAAGCTGCCCCCCAAACGGCCGCAAAAAAAAACAATGTCCGCAAGACTGCAAAGCATCCCACAGCCACGCCAGGTTCTGGAGCCTACCCTGGCGCAGGGTCGGGCTGTCCACCCTTTGTGCCTGCCATGGAGCCAGACAAGTGGTTCTACGTGGCTCGGCACAGACTTTGAGGGTCAAGGAGTTTTGGGGCAATTTGGGGGCCGATTTACATTTCAGGGGCCAGAGTTGCCTGACAGTTCCTGATCGCCTGAGAGAAAGGGGGGCAGAGAGGGAGAGAGGAGCTGCTTGCGGCCACTCATCAACGATCATCGAAGATTGGAGCCGAGGCCGGTAATCAGTGGAGCTGGCGCTGCTGGGCCGAGCTGGACCTGAAGCTTCAATAGGTTCAATGGATCTTTCAAAGGGCAGACGGCAGAAGACAAGCCTGGACTTTGTGTTTGCTTAAGGTACAGACTTTGCCAAGTTTCCCTTCATACTCCGCAGCTGCCTCAGTAGCCTCAGCACCTATGGCTTGGCCATGTTTGGCCCGCTGCGAAGACCAAAGTTCAGCAGAAGATACATTGAGACGCGAGCCAGAACAATTGGTTTCGAAGTCAACGGTGTGCATATACCACTTGCTTATACCTTATAGGGAAAGGGTAAGCGGGTCATGTGCCTCGATTCTCAGAGCAAGTAATAATGACCCGTCATTACTTGAGAATATGCGATATAATATAGCTGAAGGGGTGGTGCAAGATCTTGCATGTAAGCGGAAAGTCTGAAGGGATTGCCGTGGGCTCCTGTCAAGGCTTCGGCAGTGTCGCCGAGTTTCCTGGAAGCACTTCGTGCTGGATCATCGAGGGTTTAGAGTTTAGAGATTAGCTTGTCGAAGTCTCGCGAGCATTTGGTATACTTGGGGAACTTGACAATGGGATAGCCGGGAGGGCTGGACAGCTGGCAGCTTTGCTGCGTCTCCGGACACCCCTGTGTTGCACTTTGAAGCCACCTCGGCTTTGGACTCCTCAAGCACAGAGACCCTCGGGATTCCTCAAGTTGCAAGTCCCAAACCCAGGTAAACACCTGTTGTGCCTGGAAATGGCAGCTTTGAACAGCAAGGACCTAAGCTTCACGTGCCTCCCTCCCCAGACACACACTCAGTTCGCTACTGGCAGTTAAAAACAAAGACACACAGACACATCGCAGCAGGCTCCTGGCCTTCTTTGCCCCAGAAGGGGCTGACTGGCTGGCCACCTCCCGCCACATGCGCCGCTTCAACCAGGCTAGTGGGGACTTTTAAGAATTGTGGATATTTGAGGGTGTCGGGTCGAGGCAAGTATTCTGCTTCTCCGCGTCGATGGCTGGGGGCTTGTAGGCTCACTACTCCCAACAGCACACAGCTTGTCATCAAGGTGGGTCTATATGTAAGGTTTCTCACTGAGGGCCAGGGAGTTGTACATATGCGGCGCCACCTTCACCGGGCAAAACCTTACCCACCTTACCCATGTGACGCCAGTCCTACAGTCCTACGGTACTGACCCTCAAACCACAGAACCTCTGGCCGTGTCTGAAAGCGGCAGCGTCCCCTAACCCTTGAGCCGCTAAATGCCAGGGCACAGCCCCTGTAAAGTTGATCCCCGAAACTGCCCATGCAGGAGACCCTGACACAGTCGGCTGCCAGCTGGGCTCACGGTGTCGCAGCCGTCCTCTCCGGACAGGGAGGCAGAGGGCAAAAGACGGCGTCCTAAGCCAAGCATGTCAGACCCTAATTTGGATTTGGGATGTTCAGAATTCCGGTTTTGGCTGTGCCGCCGTTGAGATTGCGTAATGCACCATGTTACACATGGAATGTAGGCGCCCGAGAGCACGTGTGCCAGACGATTTTCGCCCCGGGCATGCGAGAGCTGTGCTGCAGGAGCCATCCGAGCTACAACGTCTGCGTGACTAGTCGTGCTTCGCATTCTGCTGTCACCTGTGGCAGAGGCGGGCTCCACCTGTGTAGCAGCATGTGCCATAGTGACTAGAAACTAGGTGCAATGGCTGAGAGTATGGCTGAGAGAACCTCTTTTCCCTGCATCGTGGATGCTGCTTGCGGATCTTTGTCGGCAGAACATGAGCCCGGCTAGCTCGCCGAGATGTAGGCCGTTCCTGCCGCAGATCCCGCAGATCTTGGCGTGCGCTTTGGCCGGGCTCTCAGGCTGGCTTTGCTTCTTCGTGGTCTGCGTTTGCTTATTCCTGCCAAACAATTAAGTACAGTATGTTCTTGCTGTTCCCTGTGCAATAAAATCTTCATCCTTGCTTGGTTTGAATGTAATTATCCCGAGGTCCTGCGTCCCCGTCCAGTCGCACATGGAGAAGAACCTGCACATTTGTGGTGCGAGTTGAGTACTTCAACTGCTCATGGCCCAGTCGAAGCTGAGCGCGGCAACTGCGAGGAAGCCTTGCAAAGGTGGCAGTGAGATGGGACTGTCTCGGGCATGCGTAGATCGCCAAACTGCGCAGGGATCCAGCCGCAGCTGTCGAGAGCGACTGCTGCTAGGCGCTGCTGATGCTCCATGAACCACAAACAAGTGTGGCCATTGATGGACGAGCGACCAATTGAAGTCAGCACGGGCAAACAAACGCGGAATGCTGGCTGATGTCCTTTGCAGGCGACCAGGAAGTACTTCCGACCGTGAATTCTTGTCCGCTCAACGACCTGAGCGGCAGAACATAGCGCAACCAACTTGGGTCGATTTGTGTAATTACTGATGTCTTCTGCTGAGGAAGTGTTGCGGACGTTGAAGTTGCGCTACGACGAGAAGTCCAAGGACTACGAGGCTGCATGTGCTTTCATGCGGCGACAGGGTGAGGAGTGATGAAAGACCAGGTGCTGATGCATGAGCTGGTCGCAATTGCCCACTATACCCTGGCAGCGCGGCACATTCTCACGTCGAAGCAATGTCACGCAAACCAGAACAACTTGCAAAGAGTGAGCAGAGCCTGCAGTACTGCATCCTTCCTCCTGCCGATTTTTTGTCTGACCCTCCCCTCTGACCAACTGCGAATTCTAGACCTTAAAGACTCAGAAACCTGAAGCTCCAGCCAGCCTGACAGAGCACTTGAAAGAGACATGGCAGGCGCTCAAGAAGAATCTGGAGGTGGAGTTCCAGCGCGTCTCTGTCGAAGGCATGCCAGGGCCACGCATTGGTGCTCAAGGCTTGTGAGAGTTCTGTACGCCGGTATGAGTTGGCTACTTGTGAGTTGATGCCATCGCAGCAGAACTTAGATTCATTGCCGTAACCCTAAACCGAGGGCTGTGGCTCCAGCTCGAGAATTTCAACAGTAGAGCTCAGAAAAGATGTGATCCAGTTCGGCAGCCCGAGTGGGCCGCAACAAAAAAGTCTGGGATAGTGGGATAGGTAATACGTGACCTTCAACCCGAGGGCTAGGCCAAGCTGCTGCCTGACACTTCGTATTTCCAGGCCGCGAGAAAGCAGAACTCGAGCCGCTGGGCACCAGTTTCAGCGAGACATCAGATTCCAACATTGAGACTTATAAGGACTGGGTAGTAGGTAACCTTTAACCTTTTTGGTTATATAGAATCCTACTACACATAAAAGGTTCACATGTTGTGGGCTAGGGTATTCACAGGGGATTTAGGCCCATCGCGCCACACAGGAAGTTGGTAAGCTGGCAAACTCTTACACCTCCCCAGCGGCCGCACTAGCAACGCAGAAGCCGGGTGCGGGGCTTCGGGCTGTGGAGGATTTTTCATCGTGTCAAGAAGGAGGTGCATGTCGGTCAAGGTGTCCGACCCCCTGCAGCAACATGAGCTGCGGTCGCTCCAAGATTAATGCCCTTGTGCCTAAGTCCGGCAATTTTCCGACAGGCAAGTTAAGATCGAAGACCTGTACATGTAGTTGCACACTTTTACTCTTTCTGGTCTCTATGGGTTCTGCAAGTAATCACAAAAATCTACAAGACCAAAACTTGGCCGCGTAATGGCTTAGAACCTGAATGCCTGAGGCAGCGCAACAAGGAATTGACATGTCGAGTGTGTGGCCCAGTTTGTGTGGAACGGCATGTCGGGTGTTCAATGTTACTCTTGAACTTGCGAAGATTCTGGATGCGGGGAGGGAGGGGGGCTTGGGCTTTGCTCATATGCCTTAAAGCCAGATTGGCTGCTTCAAGGATGCCCCCAAGGGCCTTCGCAAGTGTGCTAGGTGCGAGCTCCTGCTTCAACGGAAATCTCACGCTTGCGTGTGGTTCTTCTTCGGCTCGGAAGGCATGCTCAAGCAGTCTGAAACAATGCGGAAGCCATGTGTTACTTTCGATACACACACAATATTATATATACATATTTAATATATATCTTCTCTGCCAAGCACAAGGCAAAGCCAATGGTTTCAGGTGTCAAGGCCACAGAAGAAACCACGCTTCTGCACACAGGTGGACACTCCTGCGCTCTTTCCTGATTCCTGGCAAAAACAGTCCTGTGCTCTTTCATAACTCCTGGAAAAAACCATTCTCGAATTCTCGACTTGTTTCCCTCAAGCAAGCACCACAACTCCGTACCTCTCCAGCACTTGCAGCTTGCAGGTATGCATGAACTGGGGTAAAACGATCTTGGTGTGCAGCAGGCAGCCTGTGAAACTGATACCTCCAGCCACACGAGTCGAAGCTTTCCCGGCCATGAGCGAAGCCGCCCTGGATGCCGCAGTCCAGGCCTGGGATGCCTTGAGGGTTTTGAGGGGCTTGGAGTATCTTGGACTGTCTTGTGACGGGGGGTTGATTGTTGTGGGGTCAGAGCGAGAGAAAGAGAGAGAGAGAGAGAGAGAGAGAGAGAGAGCGCGCAGACGGAGCTTGGGACGTCGCGCGCCCCTCGGGGCGGCTCCCTTTCGGGGGGGCCAAGCGCGCACAGAGAGAGAGAGAGAGAGAGAGAGAGAGATGTGTTTAGGCATTTAGGGTTTGGGATTGAGGACGTGCGGCAGATGTTTGGGGGGGTATCTTAAGATCTTTACAGGGCGCTTCAGGTCCCTGTGACTTGTAAGGCGATTCGGCTGCGCTTCCCACGGCATCGGTTGTCAAAGCGTGGGCCGGATGAGTACGAGGCTCCGGCAGTTGGAAGTTCACTGAGTGATGGGGTCTGAGTTGCAGGTGCAGAGCAACTTAACCGGAGGGTCCCGCGTTGAGAGTCAGGGTCTGCAATTTGAGATGCCAAGCTCGAAGTTTTTGCCGTGCGTCAGGCTTGTGCTTGAAGCTACGTACCCGATTCTGCCAAGAGTTCAGGGAGGAGGCTGAGCAAACCCAGAGCATAGCGCACAGCTGCTCAAAAGAAAGAGGGTTCATGGGGTCTATCTTTGTTTCCTGGCAGTCACCAAGTCACCAAGTTCAGCTTCCAAAAGTAGGGCTTGCAGGGTGAGGGGGGATACCATGGGGACAGAAGGATGTGCCGTTTTCAATGTTCAAGCATTTTGAGGTCCAAGGGCGCGCAGTGAAGCTGAAGCTGGCTCCAGGACCGATGGGCTTGCACAACACGCTCGAAAGGTTTTGGACTATCCCTGACCTGACTTCTATGGACTTGGCATCCTTGGAACCCTGAGGCTTCTTCAGTCCGAGAACTGTAGCGCGGCCCCAAACACTCAAGCAATCTCAAGCACTCAAACCAGGCCTGCTTCCCATGTCCTCAAGGACGCGCGGGCTACTTAGAACCCTTTGTCGTGGATGGTCCGCTGAAACAGCCTTTGGACGACTACCTTTCTGGCTCAAGCCGCAACGACGCCTGGAGGCTTAAGAGGGATCTTAACTTCATGACTTTCGTTTCGAGCCACACCGTCGCTCTATGAACGAGGAAGCATACCATGCTACAAAAGTGTCCAGCGTCAGCGTGTGGAACTTCAGTGTTTAAAAGAGCGAAAGGGTTGGAGAAATTAAAGCAGCGAGACTGGCGCGCATTGGGGCTTCACCACCAGGAGCCGCCGCTTATAGGCCCGAAATTGAGGGTCACGGCCAGGAGCAGCGGAATTGTGGAATTTGGATGAAATCATGCACATCACGGTCGCAATCAAAGAGGACGTTGATGTAAATGCTCAACTAACAGTCAAGTCTTTATGACGGGGTCAGCAAATCAATGAGGGCCGTGGTGGAAAGGGCTTTTTCTAAACAGTGCAAGTGCTTGGTTCCATGCTGGCCCCCCTTGGTATCTGCACGAATTGTTTCTTGCTGGTAAACTGGTAGAGTCGTGTGTCCATGCGGACATCTCCATGTGCGTGGACACACCCATGCCATGCAGCACTCTTGTAGGCAGGACCCGGTGCCCCGAAGTCTCTCCTGAAAACAAGAAGACAGCCCGAAGTTGGTTGCAAAGGAAGCCTGGGTGGAGCCTCCAATGGTGCAGTCGGCGCTGCATGCCATCCCACGCCTGCACAGGGTGTCCTTTGAGGAGTGTCGTGCATCATTTGCTTCTTCACGAGCCGTGCAGTCGCGCAGTGCGGCTTTTCCCGGTTGTGCTGCATGTGGCACAGGAATGTCGATGGTACATGGTTCGGGCTGTGATTTTTGGTAGTGTGCATCAAGAATGGCAGGTCCAGAAATGACTGTGCTTCACCTTCAGATCCAGACTTGTGCAGCCATGTGTGTGGTGAGTTGTTTGCGCGTATGATCAAGCACACTTGTCAAACCAGCAGCATGCGCAGAATCCAGAGAGAAACAACAACAAAAACAAACAGTTTTAGCACAGTTCAGCCTGCAGTGTCCTTAGTGCTGGCATAGCATAACCCCAGCGTCTTCGCAAAACATGAGATGCCATGAAGAGACCAAGCCAAGACGAAGACAGGGCCACTTCAACATGAATCCAGAAGTGGTTGCTGACCTTTGCGAGAGTAACTTGAAGGTCTTTTCGTCGGTTGGAAAAGATCAACCGCACACTCGAACATTCCGTTGCGAAACATGCATCCCTTGAGACGTAGTTCTACGTTCGTGCGGATTTAGACTGGCACCCCAAAAGGCCCCAACTAGCAAACTCCGCATTCTTGGGAGGAGCTGTACCCAAACGATCGGAGGGAGGCGATGCTCTTGGCCGTGAATCGTGGTGCGAATTTTCGTATGCTTGTATAAGGTTGGAGATTAAGGTTGGACTATAATTAGCATTGTCAGGGTTGCTGCAAAGCAGCTGAGGATGGAAGCAGACGCCCGCGAAACCCATGCGCAGCAGCAGCTGTCGAGATCCCCATCACCAGACAAGCGGGGGCACCGGAGCGTTCGCAACCCTCCCCCTGCGGCCATGAACCATGCAGCAGGCAAGATTTTCTGAGATTGTCAGGGCAGATCAGTCACAACAGTTGTGCCAGGATCGTTTTCGGAAACCGGTGCGGTAGCATTGGGTGCGACGGAAGAAGCCTGACATCCTAATACCAATATCCTCAAGCCGTTAGCAGGAATCTCCATGTCGCCTGCTCCAGCTCCGCTGTCCCCCGTGTCGCGGGCCCCCGTGCCCACTGTCATTCGTGGGCCTGCACACATTGCAACTTGCTTGGTCAAGGGGCACGTTGGGGTGGTTGCATGCAGGTACAACCATTTTTTTCACACAAGGAGCGCAGGGGCTGCTTGCATTGCATCAGAATTGATTTCACTCCATGCTCTGGGTTTCGAAGCTTATTAAGGCAAGCGTCACGCGAGGCCGCGTGGCCGACAAGCGCTCCATAGCTGAGTTCGGAACATTTCGGCATGACTTTTTTATAAAGGGCTTCAGTGCTGCTGGTGCAAGGTGTGTATTGAGAGTACGTCCATTCGTGCAAGAACGCCATCGCATAGTTTGCCAGTGTGCAGGCCGTTCTAAGAACAACGATGCACAACACGAGTGCGAAGCCAGATTGCAGTCGCCGACTCTAGTAGTTTCATCGCTTGGTGGATATGTGTCGACCTAGCAGCTAGCAGGTTCCCATGATGAAAAACCTGCACCCACAGTTTACGTGCAAACCGCAGCAAGCCTTCAAGTGAACATCCGTCGCTGTGCATCCGCCATCAAAGTTCAAAAGCGAAACCGCCGAGTCGGGTTCCGGGCCCGACTGTATCGGTGTGCTCCGGGTGCCTAAGTTTTCGCTGCATGTTTGTTTAATGAATCTCCTGCCGCTGGTGTCACGTAAGTGGTGCCGGCCCTTCGTAAACTCAGCTGGCAGTTAAATGGGACATTTTGGAATTGTACCAGGTAGCTCTTTCTCTCTTTCTCTCTCTTTCTCTCTTTCTCTCTTTCTCTCTTTCTCTCTCTCTCTCTCTCTCCCTCTCTCTCTCTCTCTCAGTTGACATGTCCAAGCCTAGCTGAGTGTTGCATAGAGGCTAGGAGATTTTTCTTGATGAATTGCGAGCCTTCTCGCTGCACTCGACTTCGGCGCCGGAGCAAAAACCTTCGAAGCCCCAAGCCCTGAATGGCAGCGAGGCTCTGTTTCTCCGCAGAGGCGGATCTCAGTGTCTCCTGCTCCCACAAGGCCACCACGACCTGTCAAGTTTGGCTTAGGCTTTCTGGGAATGCCATAGGCTTGTTGTAGAATTAGGTGGGCGTGTCATGGGCTTAGGCGCATGTATCGGAAGGCCAGTCGGGCTTTTTTTTGAAGAGAAACATGAAGACCTGCTCCTGGGGCATCCAGAGCTGTATGTCTATCCATTAGGCTTCCGAGGCTTGAGCCTGATTCACCCAAAGCCCGTGAAACCGTAGACAGAGGGCCCGTAGGCGTCGGTTTCGTTGCTCCCACCGAAGCCACACCCGAAGGCCCCCCGTGCTGGTATTCGGCACCGCCCCGCCGAGCCCCAGCCCTGTGCGGGCGAGGAAGGTTGTGGAGGCAGGAACTGCAAGACAGGAGGAAGTCAGCAAAGCAGGTAGTTTGAGGGAGTTGTTTTTTCTGTAGGCTCAGCTCTCGTGGCTACGCACCAAAAGGGCCTCAGATAGATTTTCAGTGCACGGCCAGTCCATCGAAAGAGTGGACATGTCCAGCCCACACCAAGTTGCCTTCCACAGTATGCAAATTCAATCAAGTATGCATGTACAACGCGGATCACGGG